TATAAAACTATTGACCACATTCAACAACAACATAAAAACGTCAATTCAAGCATGCACAACAGTGTTCGGTGTTCAKGGTGTTCAAAGTTAGACCTAATTGAACATGGATTGGCAAGAAAGAGTGGGATTACCTTAATGTCTCCAGTGCAAACACAGCTGAAGTGGGGATTTGGCTTCAGCTTTTCTTTGTAAGCAGAAGCAAACAAAGCAAGCCACAAAAATAGGTCAGGCGGTTTGCAACATTACATGTCATGTGACTGACAAATGAGCAAAACTACAGCAAAACCTTGCGTTTGCTGAAGGTTTCCCACTTTTGCGTTGTGAATGCAAGGACATCTGGTCGTTTCCAAAAAACCGTAGGAAAACTTGCGTCCACAGTTCTTGGGATCATCGAGTGTAGTTTTGTCAATACACAAAGCCTGCGGGGTAAATATAGGATAAAAGCACAAAGGCCACGCATGGTCAGACCTATGGGTGGCTGCAAACCAAARCTTTTTTCTGACACACATCAGCGAGAGTCATCATGGCTGCACAGTAAAATATAAATCATAGAGAGTTGCATTGTTTATCCAAAACGGTGAAGCAGCATTATGGGGAAATTTGTTTAGCATTTTATGAATATTTTGTACAGGGAACCCATTAAAAGGCATCAACATATCACAGCTTCTTCTTACTTTTGAATGAGGAACTGGTAGTCTGATAACAATAATTACAGCCTGCGGCAGGAAAATACTGAAAAATAAAGTGTCTGTTGATGCAAAGAAGTCAACAAATGTATTCTAATCAGTCTTCGTGCTAATGCTTTCTGCATACTTAACTAGTTCTGAGCTGTTTTATGAAATATTGAACACGTGGCAATAAATCTACAGGCAATTTATTTAGATACTTTTTGCAAAATTATTGTTCAGTTATATAATGGATCTGACTAAATAAAATCTCTTAATTAAGAATGACAAGAATAATATGAGACTGATTTAAAAGCAGTGGAAGATTTATGAAGATAGAAGTTAAGAAGAGAAATAATATAGGAGAAACATCGGAAGGACAGTAATTTATCTCCTGAACTCATAAATGTAACTTGAAATATTGTCCTGCTACACATCATTAGAAAAATGCATTTCCTTTCTATTGATTGGATTGCTCAGCCACTTTTAAGAAGTCTTTGCTCGAGCTGAACACTGCCACAATAAGACAGTAAGTTGCCCTTTGCACTAACAACACGAAGTAGAAATGAAATTACAAACATGGTGATGCTGAACAGCAGCATCTCTAATACGTTCATATCTATGTGTTATAACACATTATGTGCATTAACAGACTCCTTGGGATATCTAAAGACAAAATTTGAGTCAACTCTGTTAGCAAAATATCTCATAAACCACTAAATAAAATTTAATGAAACAAAAAATAATAATAATCAATGGAAGAGTCTCTACAACTAATTTACTTTGGAATCCAATTCAAGTTGGCCACCTCAGCCAAATGACATATATGTCACCCCCTTCGGACGTTTACCTGTATAATGAACCTCAAAAATCTGTCATTTTTGCTAAAAATCCATATTAAGCAAATCCGTGTAAATTACAGACAATCCGTACAACTTGACATGAACTGATCTTAAAAAATAAAATAAAATATAAAACAGGATACAACTCAATCAGTTCTACAGATTTTGAGCTAAAAATTGTTGAGCTGATAGCTGAGAGTACTTCCTTACAGACTCCAAGTACTTTTTTACAATATCTTTCTTTAAAAGGGATCCATGATTAGTTGTAACATTACACTTTTTTGATAAACATTTATTTTAACTGTAAAATAAAGACTAAAAATACTGTAGGATGTCAAGTTTTTATAATTTTTAAACTAAATTTTAAAAATATATTACAAGAACTCCATCCATATTTTCAGTTGCAGACTGAGTCGTTTCTACCTTCTCCTCTCTGTCAACGCTCTCTGGTTTCATTTAAAAGAACCGATCATCCGATATTGTCCAAGATTAACCTTCAGGGTGGATATAGCTCGCTCACACTGAGGACATATCCACGTCATTATTTACCCAGAATGCTTTGTGTATAAAAAGAAATGGCTCCGTCCATGTTAAAATATATTTTTTTTAAATTACCAAACTAAACAGGTACAGTATTTTTACAGTCTTTATTTTACAGTTAAAATATATGTTTATCAAATAAAGTTTAATGTTACAACTACAGTAATTGTGGATCTCTTTAAAACTTGCAGCCAGTCTTGTTTGACATTTTTCAGAAAATACTCATTTGATGCACATTTACAACTTATTAACTTTTGAAGTCGGCTGCCGTAGCTAATCACTATTAACCAATTCAGAAATAGTCAGAACTCAGTCAATTTAACAGATATTTGGCTGAAATATGAGTTGTTCGCAACACATACTCTGAAGATGACGTCTTGCAATATTGTATCCGATTGAAAATATATGTTTTCCAGCTATAACTGTAATTTCGCAGCATAAAATAATCTTTATCTGTCATGAAAAGATAACACAATATACATCACTACAAGAAATGCAGGGCCTTTTATTTTACTCGGTTTGACTCCACCTCTTCTGATAACACAGCAGACGTGTTGAGATGCTTAAGCCGCAGAATTATCATCCAAACTATTCCCCCTCCTGGGTTGCTAACGGCTCATTTATTCAGCCGTGAACTGTAGTCTGACGCGAAAACAAAAGCTCCAGATGTCAAAATCACTTTGCCAACCGCTCCATGCTATACACTTCGGCTCCACCTCCTTCGCCTCCATCTGCCTGACCCTCGCTCCTTTGTCCTGAGAGCGCAGCTAACAGTCGTTCTATTTTAGGTGGAGCGGGAAAGCTTTTCAAGGTATGCAGTGAGGAGTAAATTGGAGCGACAAGGACACAGAGGGCCCCTTCCTTCATCATCTCCCTCCCCTGCATTTTCCCCCAGCCTCCCTCTGCACAAGCCAGAGAGGCTTTTAAAGATCCAAAAACGCCGGGGCCACACCGTTCATCCTCTGCACAGGGTCGCTATCAACAAGTCCCTTCCTCTCCACCCAGTTTAGCTCAAGAGTGCCGCAGAACAAATCATTTAAACCTGTTTCTGCCTGGAGTGAAATCATATAAACACGGCGAAACAGATCTAAACAAACACTTCTGTCACCACACACTCTTGTGTGGCAAACGCTGCAGTTAAGTCATCGCTTCATCTCCTAAACCTGCCTCCTTTCTGTCGCCGTTAGGTTATTGATTTAGTACCAATGCGGATGAACATCCCAGTAAGAAACACATGTGGGTGGACCCCATGAATTATCTTTTTTTTTTAATGAGAGTTCAATTTAAGGGTAAGCAGGCAGGAGCTCAGTAATGAGAATACATAACAACACAGGCATTCAGTTTATTAAGTGTTAGGAGGTCACCGAAACACAATTACTTCTCTCTTAGCTGAATTTTACTCTCAGCAAGAGACGGGAATTAGAGTGAAATAGCTTTTAGATTAGCCGTGTCGAGCTGTTACTGAGAGCCCCAACAGAGGAAGGATAAGGAAAGTTAAGAGAATATTAAAAAAACTTATTTTTTTTACGTATATGCACATATTTTACATTTTGGATGATATTTTCCTGAGAATGCATCAATATCATGATTACATTAGGTGGGAATGGCACGACTTCTGCAAACACTGAACTTGGAGGTGGAACAGGAGCCGCTCCAAATTCTAAACAAACCAGTTTTAACACACAAATGGGCACATCGACATSCTAACGTCCCCTTTTCTCTTCTGGTTTAACAGCATTTCTCTGTTGTGCCCCTGGGGTATCTGTTTTTCAGGAAATCTCAACAGCGTGTACACGAAGTCACAGAATCTCCTACAAAAAAAAAAAATGCGTGCGTGGAAAATGAAAATAGAAGTGAGATAAAAGCAGAGCCAGGTCTACAGTGTGCGAGCAGAGAAAAAGTCTTCTCTGCTTCCTTCCATTAGCTGCTCATGGCCGACGTGAGGTGGTGAGCCCGGTGACGTGGGACTGGTTGGATTTATGACAGTTTCATGTTGCTTCRTGCAAACACTAAATTATTAATCAGATTGGTTGTGGAGCGCTACATTTTGTGATAAACTCCTATCACAACGTGCAGTGCACTCGCTTCTTTCCTTCCTGTCTTCATTTTGAAAGTCTTTATCCCAGAATGCATTGCACTCATCGAATAACCAGCCATCAGTGGCTGACAAACAAGGGTGAAGAATAAAATGTCAGTTTGCCCATTAGCAGTTATTACAAATGATAGCCCTAATTTTTGATGCTTCGTTCGTTTTTAATTGCGTAAATGCTGAATCAGCATTCACACTGCTGTTTCCCTGTTTATAGCTTCTTCACAGACCCTGTTCTCTGAAACCTACTTCAGCATTCTTGCTCTATTTTTGTCGTTGTATGCCCCTTTTACCTACAGTTCCTTTAATTTTAGCTTTCGGCTAACGCCATGTTGATTTTAGCATTTGCTGGTCATTTTGCCGTTTTTAGCTAAAACTTAGCGAATTCAAAACTTTAGCTGCAAGTTTGCTCATTTTAGGTTTTAGCTACTGTTTGTTAAATTTAGCTTAGTTTTTTTTCTCATTTTAGCGTCCGTCTGCATGCATGGGCAATTTAGCTTTGAGCTTCTGGTTTGATGATTTTTAGTTTCTGTTCTGCTTCTTTGTAATTTTAACAAGCCAGTTAAAATCTTAGCCTTCCGCAAATTTTAGCAACGTCACTCAGCACTCACACTGGGTTTTTGCAAACAATGCAATTCCTTCAGTATTATTTGAGTTCACAATTTTCACCAAGGAACTACAGTCAAGTTAGTAATCCAAACCTATACAATCATCAAGATAAAACTAAAACGGCTGCACCTAGCTTACATATGACAGCAAACAGTTTGTGTAGTGATGGTAGCTACATGTCAAAAACAGCGATGGAATTGCACAAAATACAGTATCTGTTGGGACTTTTGGTCTGAATGTTACCGACCGACTTACTCAAAACATAAAGCGACAGCATGATGCCTGCCAGGCAGAAGCCTTCAAAGAACCGCAGCGTGCTGAACATGGGGACGTTGACAGAGAAGGCCACGGTCAGACCAAACATCAACATGAACAGCACCGATATGATCAGCACCGGGTGGCGACCAAACCTAGGAGGAAACACAAAAATACCGATGAATGTCTAATCGTTTTACATGTTTGCCTGAAAGGAGCTCGGTGCAAAAGTCTTACCAGTCTGCAAGTATTCCAAACACCAGGTATCCAAAGATCGATCCCACCAATAGGGAGAACTTTGCAATGTGGACTATCCACGCTGAGCCACACACCAAACTCCACTGTAGGGGAAAAATAAACAAAATATTGCTCAGGCAATGTGAAGGTGGAGGAGTATAATTAATTTATGTACTGTGTTTTGTCATTCAGCAAACTTAAGGTAACATTTGGATCAAACTCACAAATATTTAGCAGCTAGTTAGGGAACTGCACAAAAAAGCATTGCATCAAAATAAAAGTAACTGAACTAAATGGAAAAAGTTACAGATTATTTTTATTATTATATTATTTTATTTTACCGTTATTTAACCAGGCAAGTCCCATTGAGATCTCAGATCTCTTTTTCAAGGGAGGCCTGGGCCTGAAGGCAACCTATTGTACATGTTTTGGGGGGTGGGGGAAAACGGAGTACCTGGAGAAAACCCACGCAAGCACGAGGAGAACATGTAAACTCTGCACAGAAAGACCCCTGGTCCAAACCAAGGATCGAACCCAGGACCTTCTTGCTGTGGGGCGTCGGTGCTAACCACTGAGCCGTCGTGCTGCCAATATATGTCATAATTATTTTTAAGCAGCGATGAAAGTGGTGCTTCAATCTTTCCTGCCTTAAAATTCACATCATTATGAATCACGTGTTTTCTTGGAGCCATTTGGCCTACAAATATCAAGAATTACCAGATTTGTTTTGCCACAAATTCAGTACACTACGCAAGCACAGTCTGTTTTTTTTATTGCTTTTTTTCCATTGTTGCCTATCTACGATTATATGTTTGATGCTGACATTTCCCCCCAACAAAAAAATCTCATAAGTTTTCAGAGTGCGATCAGTTCAGATAGTACTTTACATGCAACACACTTTGAGCTCCTTCCTCCTCCCACTTCCAGCCGTAGAAACAAGTTATGACAAATACTCCTCGCAAAGCAAGGGGTTCAAAGAATGACGCGGCAGCAAATGTAAAACCTGGAAACTCGAAAACCTTTGACAAGCGCTGATAAAAGGATGAGCTATTGCCAGACCCCACTGCTTTGAAACAGTATTATCAGAGCCTTCGCTGCGTTTTGTGCACCATTCCGGTACATGGGACGACACGTGACAAGAGTAAATGGGGTGCTGACCCAGAAGGAGGAACACCCGATGACCTTCCTGGCATCATTAATCTTCAGCAGCCTGAGAGTAGACGGTTTAGAGAAAACTAGAGCAGAAGCGTAGGTTTTTGTGGCAGCATAATGCTTCTCAGCTGTCTTTTCCAAGAGAGGCAGCTAGACAAGGGCGTGGTGGCTACAGCAGGTGCGTTTTGTGTGTGTGGTTTACTGATCTCAACTGTGCCTCTGAAGCGCAGCCTCTCATTGTCGAAAATCACATAAACAGATATTGTAACGCTACAGACATTTCTTTATTGTTTGCCAATTCAATCCCACCCCCACCCCCTTCTCTCCTCAGGGGCTGCAAACTTCAGCCACAGTGACATGTGCAGCATGGAACACTCCGGGATTACCCAGAGCCACCACATGACCGAGGCACGCAGCTCATTCATGGTTTCAGTATCGATGTCAGCAGAGAACATGACAGAGAGCAGAGAGCAGGAGAAACAAGTTCCCGTTGTGTAATCCCAGGACAACAATGCATGCCTTTAAAAAAAAAAGAAGATAAACTTCCTCCTTTTGAGACTGTGACAAGTTTATATACACTGACGTGAAACTATCTGACTGTGCACGAATCAAGCCTCCATGTCTGGAACTCTGTGCTAGTCAACGCAGACGTATGACTAACCGAGCAACGTCAGCATTCATGTGTCACATGTCACATTCAGAACAGATGCAACTCACGAGTATTGGGGGTTTACAGAGTATGACAGGTTTGATTTTTTTTTTATTCCAAAGATTTAATAATGTCCCTTGTTTAGAAGCCAATTAGTGTGTACCTACAATGTCTCTCCCAGACCCACGCTCCATCAAACGCACCCTTAATGAGCGTCCACAATGGGCAACGTATGAGAAAAAAAAGGAAAAAAACTAAAGTCATAAATCCGTGAAAGAGAGAAATTCATGCAACTAATCGGATCAGTCCCTYTCATTTCTGTCGTTTGCGCTGTTTCGAATACGTTGTTCATTTGGGAATAAACGAACAGAACAGATCAGAGGCGTGAATCCATTATCTGAAAGAACAAACGACAAGAAAAGACCAAGAGTAAGTCGGTTTCATCCCCCCACCCACCCCGAGTGTGTTTTCGACCTCGCTCAGATGACTGACCCTCCAATGATCGGTCTGCACCGGCGACACGAGAAGACCAACTCGGCTACAGCTGCACATTTCTGCACTCGTTGAACCACACGGTGGTGGGTGGAGGTATAAAGTGAGACACGAGAGAGAGAGAAAGGGAGCGAGCCAGAAGACAGATTGAGGAGGAAGGTAAAACAAAAAGCTCGTGCAGCAATCAAACTTGTGAAAAGATAAAAACAGGGAAAAAAATAAGTAACAGTCTTCAGACATGACTAGATGACAAGCTGCAGAAAGAGAAGGGAGGATAAGTGATGCTTCAAACTGCGAGGAAAAGGGAGAAAACACACAAAGAGACTGCGGCATAGTTACTGCCTAGCAACAGAGCATCACTGAGGTTATCCGTTTTAGCACAGCTGCTTTACCATCATAGAGGCGCTGAAAAAAAATATGACTGTGGTATATGTTTGGACATGAGAGAGTGGGGAGAGTAGGGTAATATTCTGCTATTTAATCATGTGAGAGAAATCTATTTTACTCATGTTCACATTCGTATCACCCTCTGCCAGAGGCAAAGGTGGAAAATTACGTTTACGTCTGTTAACAAAACTRCTCATGAACCACTGAACTGATTTGAACTAAACTTACAGAAAGTAACCCCTGAATGTGGGTCTACAACTGATAAACACTTGGAGTCAAGCAGATTCAAGATGGCCGCCACAGCCAGCTGATTGCTATTCAAAAATGGTCAGTTTCACAGATAAGAAGCTGAAGTTTGGTTAGGTAGTGGTTGAGACTGATCCCGAACACATATTTTGAGCACAACATATTACACAAAAAAATTCATTTAAATGTTACCATTAACTATTTAGATGAAACCATTCTGTCTATTGGTAAAATATCCCATAAACCACTGCATGGATATTAATGAAACTTTTAGAAAGTAATCAGTGGATGTACATCTACAGCTGATTCACGCTTGGAGCAAGCCCAATTCAAGATGGCTGCCACAGCCAATTGAATGTAAAAACAATTAAATTGGTTATAATTCAATCAGTTTTACAGATTCTGAGCTCAAATTTGGTGTGGTTCTAATCTGAAACTCATTCAAATCAAAAACTCCAAGAACTACTCATTTTGCATGATTGCTGCCTAAAACTTTAGCACTGACTGTTGACATTAATCCTGTTTGTCTGTTAGCAAAACATCTGGTGAACCACGAGACAGATTTTTGCCCAGCATTCAGAAAGTAATGGATTGCATGTTTGTGCACAACTGACTCACTTTTGGAGTGAATCCAATTAAAGACAGATCCCAAAGATAATCAAAACAAGCAAATACAAAAATGGACACAACTCAGTCAATTTTATAGATACTGAGCTAAAGTTTTTTGTTTTAGTAGCTGAGTGTCATTCACAACTCTGAGCTTGACATCTCATGATTCGCATGAGATTTAGCATGATTTTATGTTCCGGCATCTCTCAACACTAAATGATTGTAGCCAACATTTCTGGCATGAAAGGCGGTTGGTATTGAGGCTTCAAATTTTGTAGTTTTGAAGCAAAAAGAAGTCAAAACAACACACAAGCATCTGATTAGGTGATTGTCTTTTACAAGCTGGCTGATGGCGGTTACACACTGCAGATATCAGCAGTGACAGATGGTGAAATAAGAAACCCTTGTCTGTTCTTCGAGCAGCCTCACATTTTTAACCATTAAGCACAACACAACTATGTCACTGAGGAGGGTTATGAGCAAAAGCAACTAACAAACAATATGAATCCTATTACACAACACCAAAAAAAAAAACCTTAAATTATAATCAAGGGTCAGACAACTCCCAAACTCTCCATGTCTGCCTGTTACAAAAACAACACTTATCAGAAACACGCCTGCAGCACACACTCTTGTCACACACTCTCAAAAGGAGCCTCAGCAGAGTTTTATCTTCTGGTCACACGCACAAGTGTTCTGGCCCCCTCACAGCTGACGCAGTGAGAGGCTGTCATTGTGGGCTGACTGGGTATCTGCACTGGGGTCGTCGCCTTTCGACAGCTGGGACCATTTCAAAAGAGTCCCTCGCTGATCCGGGGTCAGTGGAAGGAGTCAACCAGCTGGGTAAACAGTATGAGGGACACAGAGCAGAGAGGCCTGCTGGGGGTGGTCGAATGCAGTTTTGGCTTTCAGATATAAGGGGGTGCAATCTCCCGGGTAGTGACACTGAAACCGTGTGCAGCCATCAGTGTGCTTTCACACTATATCTGCCTCGTCACTTTCAAAAATTACTTTTGCAACTTTGCATACATAACATGGTCAAACAGTCTCGTTTTTATGGATATCAGCAGATGCTTTTATCCAAAATACATTTTAAGWGAAAACAAAGAAATACATTGAGTTTCTCTCCCAAAAGACCACTTTGATATGTTAACAAGAGGTTCAGCAGTTTACTGACATATGACCAGTATTTCTGCTAGAGATGTGTGCAAGTCATTTTTTGCAAGTCCAAGTCAAGTCTCAAGTCTCTGACCAAAAATACAAGTCAAGTTTCAAGTCTCTTGACCTCATTTCCAAGTCTAGTGGCATTTATTACTTAACTGGCAGTTTGATCAAAGGTATTGTAACTATACTAGACTATATTCTAAAATACTATATTTTAATAAAATATTAAACATAGTATAGTAATACTATTAAAACATAATACTGTTTTAAAAAATACAGATAAGGTCAAGGTTGAAATAACAATCAAGCATTTAGAGCATTGTTACCGGTAACTATATTTTGCACAAAAGCATACTTGACAAAGAACAAACMCAACAAGTCTGCTGCTGATTTTACAATAAAATACCAGAAAATATTTTAAATGCATAAAAGCATGTCAGTGAAGATGATGAACCAGAATCATTTAAGTAAAAGAGCTGCACAAGTCATCACAAAAACAAATTTTGGATTTGGACTTCACACACTTTGCATTTTGCCAGTCTCTTGTCATGGTGTTGAATAAAGTCACTGTAAACAAAGTTTATAATSAATGCCTGCCATGCTGAAGCTCTGTTTATCACGTAGGGTATACGTCATTTACATTGGACGGCGCTGGCCCCTCCCATTCTCAGGTGAGGGGGAGTATGAAAGAATTATTCTGACTTTAATCAAGAGTGTATATTTTCACTTTGAGAGCAGGATTAAATGTCTTTGCTCTTAAAACTTAACGTATCTGTTCTCAAAGGAGCGGAGCATGGATGTGTATTGAGGGAGTGATGATCATGAGCCGGGCAGTGAAAAGACTTGCATTGTTTGCGAGTTTCAAACCACAAGTCCAAGTCAAGTCTCAAGTCTTTAGGGTCCAAGTCCAAGTCAAGTCTAAGTCTCTAATAGTAKGGACTTAAGTGCRACTCAAGTCCAAGTCATGAGTCCCCATCTCTGATTTCTGCAGATCTGACAAAAAATAAAAAGAAAGTAAATGCTATATTAACACACTATCTGTGAATTTGACTGAAACACAGAATTTTGTGTTTTCTAAAATGAGTTGACTTTGGCGGCTATCTTGAATTTGAATGGCTTGAAAAGTTAATCAGTTGTAGAGTGGCAACTAATGAAGAATACCTGGACGTTTTCCTAAAAATTCATCCAGTGGTTTAGAAAATATTTTGCAAACAGACAAACCTGATTTCAATGGTTCATGGTAGGATTAACAAAAAGGAACCTGCTTAATCTCTTCGCACCTAAAATATGCACAGGCAATCAGTCTCAGCAACTACCACACTAAATCTTTGGTCTTTTTTTTCATAAAACTCACTCAATTTGAGCCTTTTACGTTTTAAAGCCTGTGGTGACCATCATGATTTGGGTTGACTCCAAAAGTACCTCAATCAAAGTCAATATGTTTCACAAGGAGACAATCATAAACAAACTTCAGAATACCATAGGTTATTAGCCGCTGAGCTCATCTGATAATATTATACAAAAACAAAAATTCTTGCGTCATCGGCAAAGAGGTCAACATGCGCTTTCGAGAGGTTGTCAGGACACTATTTCAGGAAAGCTGCTACCCGTCTGAATGAGTGGCTGAGCCGCACAGAGACCGACTCTGAGTAATGATAACTTCTCATTTCTAAGGCTCAGCTCAATTAAGAGAGACCCCCTGAGGAGAGGTTTCACTCAATTAGGGTGCTTTCCACATTTACCACCTTGGATTCTTCTAAACTATTTCATCTCATGCTGCCTTTTCGTTTTGTTTGTCACCCACAAAATACTTTTAAAAAAAGAAGTGAGCAGGGAAGCTTTTGCCACAAAGTTAACTTAAGTGGAACAGAGTAAAAAAAAATCAAAAAATACATTTAAGATTAAACACGTTCGTTTTGTGTGATCACCAAAGGGATTTGACWCAAACATTGACTTTTTTTTAATCAGTGTTGGCACCGGGCTCTGCTTTTTAGGGATTGAGTGTCACAGATTGCTGAGTCCACTGGTGTGCAGTTATGTCCGTGCAATCCAAACACAAGGGAAGCTGCCGGGTCATCACTTCCTGCTGGAGTGTCACATCTTAGTTCCTGTGATGTGACGGTGGGGGGAAGAAAAAGGAAGTGGAAGACCAAGTGGCAGGCAAGGTTGTAAAAATTAGGCCAGGCCAGTGACAAAAGCACTGGTCAATGGTTTCATGTTGGCTTGTCTCTGGGATTTTTTTATTTCAAACTGGATTTTTTTTCCAATGGTAAACAACGGGCAATGATGTGAACGGTTATTTGACTGTAGTTTTAGCAAAGTATCTCACAAACCAGTGGACACATTTTAACAAAACTCCCAGGAAGTAATCATATGCACCTCTACAATGGATTAACTTTTGAAGTCACAGCTAACCTCAACCATGGCAAACACTAAAACTCAGTCAGTCAAGTTTATAGACAGTACACCAATATTTGATGGGGTAGTAGCTGAAGCTATAACAATACATTGACCCACATCAATATATTGATTTAATGATTAATGAATTACATCAAGCAAAATAAAAACATTGATCCATTTCATCATCAAATGCTTGATGGATTGGACAATTTGGGAAGGTAAGGCATCCGCATCCACTTTCTCCCTCTTTGCCCCACTGTGGGCCTTTGAGCAAGGCACTTAACCCACCTCCAGCTGCTCCCTGGTTGCCTTAGATGGCAGCCCACCATTCAACATGTGTGATGGGAAAAATGCAGAGAACTCATTTCCTGTTTGGGATCAATAGAGTGTATTTACTCTTACTCTTTAAGTTTACATGCCATGATGGATTTCTGACTGTGGCAACCTTGCCAGAAAAAAAAAATGGCATGGAAAACTAGCAGTATGAGATAATCTAATCAACTGGTGCGTACTTGCCACTGATGTGCAATGTTGGTAGTGTCAACATGACATTATTAATATGTGTACAAAGGCAACACAAATGACTGTATCTGCAAGTCAGAGCGCCAGCGTTCCAGTAAGGTTGGAGCATTTCCATGCAGCTACAGTAGACCTACTTTTGTTACCATAAGAGAGCAGGCTGTGAGTAACAGCGGCCCACTCCGTCGATTTTCCTCATGTGACTCCACCTATCTGCAATTTAGAAGCACAAAAGCTAATGTTTGTTAAAAAGAAAAGAAAAAAAAACAGCTCATCACTTTGGCCTTTATTGCAAGACGACACCTGAAATTACCCCATGGATGCTAAATGAAATCAGGTATTAAAGTATACTTTAGCTCAGAGCTACTGTAAATTGAAATGTCAGCACGGCGTTTTGTTTGCTTTATTTCATCAGGGTCATTATCAGTCAGAAGCAGATGGACTGTTGGCATTACCCGAGATGCAAGCTCACGGTAGAAGACCCTCTTTATGGGCCGAAGTTCAAAGCCAAGCTTTAAATCAAACTCAGAGATAACTGTTTATTATGACAAGCTTTTAATACGGCTTTCTAAAAGTGCCAGGGTGCACCAGTGGGTTAAGACGCACAAGAAAAAAATCTTGTCTGCCTATTATTTAGATTAAAAATATAAAAATGTGTTCATATTCCTGAGTGTTTTGATTTATGGCTACATAAATATGCAAATTTTCCTCCATGTGGTTATGATGAATGCAGGGGCTGATGCAAATAGTTTTATTAGCCATAAATTAACAAAGGCATTATTGCACTCGCTAAAAGCAGGCCTTTATCCACTCTGGATGCTGGAGGAACATCCTCCGGCTGTTTGTTTAAGGYAGTGCTCACAGAGAGGGTGGGGGATGTTTGGTCAGGGATGGGGTATTATTCTAAAATGAGCACTTCTGACCTTTGCTCCAAATCAAAAGACTAAGAGTCGTATTATTTCAACCAGATCCCATCACCCGCTTGCAGGTGTTTTTTTTTTTCTTCAGAAATGCTGCCGTTTCCATGCCTCGGGGTCATTTCATCGTTGTACATCAGTGGTTCATCGCTCTGGCAGTTATGAGGTATGCTCTCAACCAGGGGTGCCTCCAGAAAATAGTTAATCTTGGGGTGGCACACCAAAAYCAATACAAATGTTAGGGAATCACCTTCTGATGATGATGCCTTTATTGTCATTGTGCAGAGCGCAATGAAATCACAGTTAAGAACACCCATTCAAGAAGACACACGTGACAAAACATAAGGGATATGATTTAGTATGTTTGTTTGTTTTTTCATTTATGGTTGGAAACACTTATTGAAAACAGTACTATCAACATAATAAAGCTTGTTTTCCTCTAAGTTTATGATTCCTATAATAATAATAATAATAATAATAATAATAATAATAATAATAATAATAATAATAATAATAATAATAGCATGTACAAAACCGCTAAAGGTGCATCCTAATATGAAGACACTGGCCATTGGATCCAGATTTCAAGCGTAACATTCTTTGATTTTTATTACTTTTCTTTAAATACTTGATATGTGTATGCTGTAGGTGTTTTGTGGAAAAAAGCACATAGACTGAAAAACATCATGAGGAAACTTAGCGTCAACATCAAATGCATGAGTAAATAAGATGAATTGGCCCATTTTAACGCAAAATATTTGAAAAACACTGCCCATTCCTACCTACCTTGACATATTATTCTCTTTAACTTAAACCGGTCCTTTTTTAAAGACACTAGCTTTAGTTATATTTCTAATATCTAATTGTTCAAACACAATGTTTTGTCTTTTAGGATTATGAGGTTCTATTAATCCCATTCAGCCAGTAACCCAGCAAACAAAAGCTTAGGACTCTGGAGGATAAGACTGGCCAAAAGGCTGGTGTCAAGCCAGCCGAGGAGGGACTGGGGAGCATTTTTTGTTTTGGGGGGAAGCCATATTGCTCTCTCCAGCACCCCCCTCCTCCCAGGACTCTATGGGCATCCCTGTTAATTTTAACATAGACAAAACACACACAAAAAGAACACTATCTGGGATGCATTGGTGTTTTCTGATTGATTTAGTGCTAAAAGGAGCCCCATTTTCACCCCCTTATACGTCTGATCATAAAAAGGGATCCTATCAGGAACAAAGAGGATAGGATCCCCTGATGCATGGCATCAAATCGTCCTCAGGATGGACAGCTTTACCTTAGTGACCACGTTCTCATCGAGCCCAGTGTGCAGCTTGAAGGTCCACTCGGAGCAATTCGGAACACACTGCATGSTCGTGCCATTGGGCCGGATTGTGGTCTCACTGGCATCACTGGGGGGATGAGCAGACGGCCAGGGCTGAAGAGCCGCGCTGCCGCCGTGATCGGCCGTCAGGTTCGGCTGGACGCATGTGCCGTCCGGCTGGGCGAGCAGGAATTCGTCCGAGTACTGGCTGAATCCGATGAACAGCGCCGGGATCCATGTCAGCACGATCAGCTGCTTCTGGTACCTCCCGAAGCCCCCGAGGAACGGCAGGACCTGGGTGTCGATGCGCCTCAGCGGCCCCGGCGGCGCCGCCGCCGCGGTTTCGGGGGCCACGAAGCCGTTCTCCGGCTGGTGCGCGTCCCCCGCGTCGAGCTGCACCCCGGCCATGTCGCCGAGACGAGAGGGAGAGAGAGGGAGAGAGGGAGCTGCCTCCGATCGTGGAGCGAAGGAAGCCGGGCGCTCGCAGTCCGTGCCTGTCCGCCCCCCCTCCCTCCACAATGCGTCAGTGCTCCCCCCACCCCACCGGCTGCCTCTCCGTGGCGGCCGTGCGCAGTCGGTCAGAGGATTGGAGGTGAGACGCACCTCCTCGTTGTCAGGATGGCAGGAAGCACTTCCCCCAGTCGAGGCTGTCCGACGCCAAAGAGCCCCGCGCATGGTGGTGGGGAGGGAGAGTGGGGGTCCACTCACGCGAGCACTCAGACTTTAAACGGATTAGCGAGGAAACCACCTAAAATAACCCCATTGTTTTCGTTGTTGCTCAGCTGAGGCTGCCTCGGAAGTACTTCCTGGGTGAGTCACAGGTAACACACCTGCCCCACAGGTGGAGTCCTGACATCATGGCCTCCAGGAACCACAAACACACACACACGCTTACATAAATTTCCACTTTGTTTATTTATTAGTGTTTGGCCTAAAAATGCTATTTATTGACAAACTCTAATTTCACCACGAAGATAAACAATGACATCTACAGCGGCATGACAATTAAAAAATAATAAATAAATCAAATAAAACCAAATAAATATTTTAAGTAAGTAAAAGTTGCGACATAGGTAGGTTTAAAAACTATGTTATAAATAATTATCAAAACTAAGTACATTATAAACAGGAAGTAGGAGGGGTTAAAGTGTAAGCTCCGCCCATAAAAAATAATAAAACAAAACTAGGGCAACTATGGAAGACAAATGGATGTCAAACCTTTTGAATTAGTAGGCTAGATAAGAACAGAAGTGATAGTGTCAACATTTCCAGATGGCTTAGTTTATGACAGATTAACCTTTGAAATATTCAGATCAGGGCCAGAATCTCCACTGCGGAATGCAGATTATTATTATTATTTTTTTTTTTACCCAGAGACAATTATGGAAGAAGTCAGCTGTTCTTATTGTATAGTTCTGCCTGACTTTTGCTCATCAACAGGATTTTTTTAAAGCAAGCAAATCAAGTTCTGAAGAGGGTTGTGTCGCTGAGAAGGATATGTCGTGGCACAGTCTTTTTAGTCAGCATTTACAGTCACCAGCATTTTCCATTTCCTGCATTTTCCCCCTTGTTTGCAAATATAAAGCATTTAGAATTGTTTTCCAACATAATTCATTGTCTTACAGTCACCTTACTGGATGAGTAGAACAATAAGGTTTGAGTGATTTTGTATAAGAACAAAATAAATAGTTTTTATGTCCATTTGCACTGAACCAGGAAGGCAGTTAAATGACATTCTTT